CTGATTGTTGTTACTAGTTGCCAGGAGCTTGGCTAGGTGTGACACCAGCCAGAATGTCCCACTCAGTTCCTGGCAACCAGTGAACCAGTGACGCTAGTGAACTTGGCCGACCAGAGTGTCACTGGTTGTCAAGAGTTCTTAGCATCTTTGGTTCAAGGTGTCTAAAAAGTCAGAGTTGGGCTTTGACTTTAAAGGAAGTTGGCGTCTTATATAGTTGTTCCTGGATAAGATATAATAATCCTGGAAGAACACAACTATAAAGCTCTAACGGCAGTGGTGGACAATGTGCTGCCACAAGCAGTCTATTTTGTTATTGTTTTTCATTCATTTGTGTTTTCGTACATCCCTACATTTTACCCCCACTATTTTGTGTATTTTGGTACAGCCCTTAGTTAGACACTCTCTGCTAATCCTTCCCATTTCCTTTTCATCCTCTCCCTCGCTGTGTCAAGACCCACATTTTACAAGGCTTTAGAGAGAAATGTCTTTTCCACTCCAAGAAATGAGAAGGAATCACATCCTCTGTGTTGCCAAGCCTAAATAAACCACATACGGTTTTAATCTGAGTTTTCTTGATGAGTTGGGCCCTGCCTGTGGATACCATCAACTCAGTAGGTTGTCATATTGTCCGGACAGATGGAATCTCAGGATTCCATCCAACCATTGATTCATGCAAATACATAAATCGGTGTTTGAGACAGAACAGACAAAGTTACCAAAGGGCCCTAGTTTTTTTTTTACACCTCTCCAGTTTAATATATACAGTATAAGATATAGTCAATTCAGTCCTAAAGCTTTTTTTGTGGCTAAAATGATGTGTCTGCACAAACCTGTTATTGAACTGAGGAATCTTGAATGTTGATGAAGACCAAGAACCACTCTGACTCCCTTCTGTCTGCCATAACTTAGCTGTGTCCGTCCCAGTATTTTCTTCCTGGGAATACACTGCCAGTGTTCCATTGAAGGTGCCATATATAAGGAACTTCAAAGTTAACTAAAATATACAGAACAAACAAGCTGTCACACATATATCTACAATAGTGTTTTAAATCAGATTTATAAATAGCCCCCAGGAAGTTTCCAGTTATATTTCTCTACTGTAGGTTTGAAAATAAAGAAAATCACAATTCCTCCACTTATTTCTTTAATTATTTCAGTAAAGTACATGTAAGTCCTAAATGAATGGTGTTTAGTTTGTTGAAGCAGCTTTCTGTTTACAGGTACTCTAGTGCTGGCTGCATCGCATTACCCAGGACAGGTTTACGGATGGTGACAACAGTGGATCATGCCTGTGGAATGTGGGTTGAAACAGTCACTGGGGGGGAGGGGGGTTTGCACGGTACCTCTGTCTTGAGTCCTGCTCAGCTCACTGATTGATGTTACTAGTTGCCAGGAGCTTGGCTAGGTGTGACACCAGCCAGAATGTCCCACTCAGTTCCTGGCAACCAGTGAACCAGTGACGCTAGTGAACTTGGCCGACCAGAGTGTCACTGGTTGTCAAGAGTTCTTAGCAACCTGGGACGCTCTGGCTGGAAAAGGGGTGGCTTGCACACATTCCGTTTCCCCTACGTGATGCAATAAGATCTGATTGTTGTTACTAGTTGCCAGGAGCTTGGCTAGGTGTGACACCAGCCAGAATGTCCCACTCAGTTCCTGGCAACCAGTGAACCAGTGACGCTAGTGAACTTGGCCGACCAGAGTGTCACTGGTTGTCAAGAGTTCTTAGCAACCTGGGACGCTCTGGCTGGAAAAGGGGTGGCTTGCACACATTCCGTTTCCCCTACGTGATGCAATAAGATGCCGCCTGAGGCAACTGCTTCAGGCAGCCTCATTATAAGGATGGCCCTGGCTGTCACCCTATAACACAAGGTGTCTGAACAAGAACCTTAATGGCAGGATCTCCAGGAATTATTTTTAATAAATTAAAACTTTTCTTTACATTACATTTCTTTAAATTACATTATTACATTGGGATGTTAAAACTTATTTGGTGTTTTACTGATTGGGTTTACATATATTTAAATTTGTAGACAGTCATAGGTCATGTTGTTACGTAAAAGCATTTTGCTTGCAAGGCGATTGTCGTCGTCCTGTAAGGTGGGCTAATCATTTCATGGTGCATACAAACCTACCTGACAGGTTTTGTTTGGCAGCACAGGGGGAAAAAAGTCACTGTACACGGTCGCAGTGCTACTATTATGCTCATTTTCGATTGGCAGGTAGAAGAAATGCCCTTGGAAGAATAAAAGAAGAGTAAAACAAGTCATTATACAATTTGTCGAATTGTCAAGAAGACTTTATGCTTACTGTAAATTATAACCTATATCTAGGTCTTATCCAATATATTTTTAGTTTTGGGGACAGGAAATTATAGGAAATCTCCCCGAAAGAAGACCCAGACAACAATAAAAACTGACAGAGGTTGTACCTCTTCCCCATTGTACGAAATAGTGTTTTCGCTGTTTCCCCATTGGTAGAGATTTCTCTTGCGGGGACAAAACTGACATCTTGATCTGACTAGGGTAAAGTGTGATAGGAAAATGAGCAAATAATAATGTCTGTCAACATTTTAAACCCTGACACACTGACTGACTGACACACAGGTAAACCCCAACCAAACACAGAAAAAAAAACACATTAACTACATACATTTTGTATTCTTTTACCTTCCGTAGAAAGTGGGTGGATGTTATCTTCATGATTCAGCTGCACTGAATTGGCATATGTCCATGAGCTACCAGTTGAAGTATTGGCAGTCCAGTGGCAAGTGCCTTGATCAAAGGTGCAGTGGGCACCAAGAGGAAGGATTTTTTCTGAAAAGATGACACACATATTATCAAAGGCTGTACCTGGGTCATAGGTGTTACAATCCGATTGTTCAATCTCCGTACAATTTCCTTAAGATTTACAAAAAATGTGTAATGTGAGGGTCTTCCCTGAACAACTCATCCAGTTTGTATGCAATTACGTAAGTTCTTGCACCACATATTTGTTGGTAACTCTATTGAATATTATTTACTCAGATCGTATTATGTATGGTCAGCTTGCATATGAAAGTCCAACCAAGCATAAAACAGTGATGCCCCGAATCACCACCTGGTTTGTTAAATATCTTGTAAATGTGAGTGGCAAGATCAGGGGCGTCCCTACACCTTTTGCAGCCTGAAGCCAGGGGTGCTGGAAGTGCACGTTATATGGGGGGATGGTGGGAGAACGGTACCTCTGTCCAGCATCCCACCCAGCTCACTGATGTCACTGGTTGCCAGGAGCTGGGCAGGATGCAGCCAGAGCGTCCCGCTCAGCGCCTGGCAACCAGTGATGTCAGTAAGCTGGGCAGGACGCCGGCTAGAGCGTCACAGGTTGCTAAGAGCTCTAAGAAAGTTGGGACACTCTGGCTGGAAAGGGGGCATCAGGTGTGACCCAATGAGATGCCACTTGAGGGAACCGCCTCAGGCTATCTCATTATAGGGATGGCCCTGTGCAAGATCAATCCAGCAGGGTTTACAAATATGTTCCCTCACAGGAACCATTGTACTTACACTAATAAATATTTTGAGATGTAAAATAAATGCATATAATGTGAATCCAGCAACAATAATGTCTGACCCTTGTAATTGTCTCGTAGAGAGTAAAATGGGAAGAACGAAGATCTCTACACCGATTACAGGGGATTAAAACAGCTGTTAATGAATAATGAATTAATTAACATTCATCCAGATGCAGACTAAAGCTGATGTCAGATGAGCTATCTTGTTGTAGGAAACAACTCGCCTGTCACAAGATCACTAAAAGGAGGATTTATAAATTATCCGCCCAGCCATAACGTGGTTGAATGTTGTTTGTGCCTCATTCTTGCCACTGGGTGGAAATTCTATGCTCCGTCTTGTGGTGAGCATGGCGTGCAAATGGCATTCGGCCAGCATATGACTGGGCAGATGATTTATATGTCATCTCTTAAGAAATAACTTACCTTCACCTATGGAGTAGCTGCCTTGCTGGCTGGACCAGTGAGATGTCACTCCTTGCTCGCTAGCGAATAAGATTCTGTTGCTTTCCAGGCCAGAGGTGATGTGACACGCATTAGTGAAAATGGCTGCATTAGTTTGGTGATTCTACCACTGGCAATATATCTCTATTGGCAGAATTGCCCATACTACATATTCCTTAAAGGAGAACTATGGGGTTAAGGCTTTTCCCCATAGTTCTCCTTAGGGTAACGGGAGGACAGAAACTAGCGTCCTCCCGTCACCGTAGGCTCAGTGTACCGCGAGCTGTAGCTCGCGGTATACTGAAACGTCGCAGTATACCGCGAGCTGGTGCTCGCGGTATACTGAGACGCCGCAGCTGAAGTGGATCCTGACAATTGTGCCGGGATCCGCCCAGCTGTGTGACTGACAGCTGGCTCTGCCTATCTAGAGGCAGAGCCAGCTGTACCCGCCCCCTCCCCCGTCCGTTCCGCCAGTCAGCGCTCACCTCCCGATCTACTGAGCCGACCTGTGACAGTCTCATTGTCATAGGTCGGCTAGAACTATGAGGTGAGTGAAAAGCACTCATCTCATAGTTCATCCTTTAAAGTGACCTTATCGTCAGACCAAAATTGTCCCATAACATATGATGTATTTAAAGTATTTAATACATGGTTTTTACTCCTTTTTGTAGACATCCAAAAGCCCTGAGACTGCTGGGTTCCACCATCCATGATGTGATGTCAGCAGCCCCAGCAGACTCAGAGCTGTTACCCAAGTAACACTCTATGGTATTGCCTTTGTTCCTCCCCTATGAGCTACATAAAATATTATGAGGGGAGGAGTGAAGGAGCTGGGCAGCACAGTGAATAATTAGATAAATCCAAAAGAGGAGAGCCCTATGACTTGCAAGGAAGGAGAGGGGAGGGGCTGTGTTAGGAATTTGACTCGTCCTGGAGTACTTAAAGTCCAACTGAAGCCAAAACGTTTAGTTTAGGACAGCGTAATGAGGGATAAGAATACCTGTCAGTTTTTTTTATTGCTGTCAGTTTCCCCATTAGGGAGATTCACTTTCTTTATTTGTCCTGGTGAACGTTATTATTGAAAGTGAAAGAAAATCTAAAATTTTGGGTTGTCATCAGAACAGGAATAAATGGGAAATCTTCCAATGGGGACACTAGTTTTGGTGACCCTCCTGACCACCAGGGATTTCCCTACTTCCTGTTGTTGCTATTAACTGGAACTGAAGGGAAATCTCATCAATGGGACACAGATGGCAGAAAAAGAAGCAGACGGGTTATAACCCTCTATCCAAAGCTAAAAAACTAAAAAAAAAAAAGGTTTTCTAGCAAATTTAAGGGCACATTGCAAATTAATCTAAAAATAATTTATTGAAATGAAAAACACTGGGGGTAAGCATTTAAAATACTTGATTTTCCTGTGCTTTTACATGCATGTTATTAAGGTGATGACACGGTCTCTTTAGGGTTGGCAATGGGTTCATTAATCAGAGCAATCCTTATAGGTACTGCACAAGAAAAATATTACAGCTCCATTACAGAAATGAGAATGCTGGCACTTACCACATACTGCACCTTCATCGTCTCCTCCTGGGCAGTCCATCTGAAAGTCACACACTTTCGTACGACCAATACATTCCCCATTTGTACAAAGGAAAGATGACTCCCATGGACAAGAATATAAATCTTCTTCACTGTTACCTATAGAAAAAGTGCACAGAAATTATCATTTAGATCTATTGTACACTAAACATGACATAAAGGGGGCATCATTGATGGTTCATGAAAAATTTCACAGAACAGGTGAATTTGGTGCAACAATTTAATAAAAATTGTGCCTAATTTTTGAGATTGCTTTAACAAATATGGAGTAAAGTAGAAAAGCGCAACTGTACCTGCGCCATTTACTTTACAACAGGTAGTACAGTCAGAGGAGTGAGAACAGAATGGCTGGACTCTCAACAAAAAGTAACAAGTGATGGAATTGTTTGAAGATTTTATTAGAAACACATTGAAAACTTCACAAAAAGAGGAGAAATGTGTGCAACTGAATGAAGAAGGTAAATTGCCTCAAGCTGGATCTGGAAAACGTAGAGGAAACATCTGATGGAGGAACACTCTAAGGAATGTGCACCATAGGAGATTAGCACAGTATTTGTGGATTCTAAAGGTAATTACCCTAGTTCCCTTAGCGGTACTGGAACGAGTGCCATCCTTCTCCTGATCCCCCTGTACATCCGTAGTGTACTCTGTCTCCAGTCACCATAGATGAGCTCAGCAGCTGTGACTAGAGCACAGCTGCTGGTGGGGATCATGAGAAGGACGACACTCGCTACAGTACCGCCAGGGGGTGCTTGTCCTTTATCACAAGGAGTGAAGCCTGACCTAAAAATCCTTATAGTTTCAATGCTTCTTTTTAGTATGGACCAGCTGTTTGGACAAGTGCCTCCTAGCTGTACTGTATTGAGTGTCCTCCTTCTCATGATCCCCCCCACAAAATCCCCCCCATGCACATTGTGCTCTAGTCGCAGCCGCTGAGCTCATCCGCTTGGAGCGGTGGCTATTTTACAACACACACAGGGACCATGGGGAACAAAAGTAGCCACCCTCCAGAATGAAGGACAGTGTCAGCACCAATTCAGAGATGATTTGAAGATCTACAGCCGAGTGATACACAAATAAGATACATTTTTGTTAATAGGTACTTGAATGCATTTTTAAGATTTAATTCCTGAGTTTAGTGTCACTTTCAATAATGCAATAATGTCCCACAAGTATGAAAACAGCATACCTGCTTATTTGTAAAATCTAATTAGTTTAGGGTTATGAAATCATGTTAAGGGACAGCATAGAGAATTTTTTTAAATAAGGTGAACTAACCCTTTAATTTGCAAAAAACATTACAGCACTGGGGGTCCCTGGTTCGAATCTTGGCCAGGTCACTATCCACAAAGAGTTTGCATGTTCTCCCTGTGCTTGTGTGGTTTTCCTCCAGGTACTCCAAAGACATGCTGGTAGGTTAATTGGCTCCTGTCTAAATTTGACCTCGTACGTATGTATGCATGTGCGATAGGGACCTTAGATTGTAAGCTCCTATAGGGCAGGAACTGATGTAAATGTGCACTGTGTAAAGCGCTGTGTAAAATTGTTGATGCTATATAAATAATAATAATATTACTTCTTCTTGCTCTGTATAACTGGGGGGCAGGCAATTTTTGCTTTAACTACATAGGCACATACATTTGTGTCCCTCTTTCTCATCTTGTTGGGCAAGTTGAGAGGTAAACCAAAACTTTGATGATGGATCCAAGAAAAAAAGTCTGCAGTCATCTTACCACCAAAGCAGTTCCGGAGATGGAGAGAGTCCAGAACTAGGAAGGTCTCTGTTCTTGGAAAACAAAGTTCATAATCCACAGAGATTTGAAAGTTAGAATCCATTCCTCCAATCTCAGCGCTTAGCAGCCTCCATGGAGACCTATTGTAAAGAGTAGTGTACAAAATCCCATTGTTAATTGGCTCACAGTTGCATGTCTTATCTGTCTGGCAACACAGCAGCATGATATGACAAGTAGAAGAAAAGAAGAATTTCCCTGACAATGTACGGCTTGTCATAGCTCTGGCCACCGGGGTGGCTGCGGGCAGCTCTCACTGGGCTGCACAATGTGTAAGGAAATGGATTTCCATGCAGCTCCTTTTCAATACACTTTTACTAGTGTGATCATCTGATGACTGACAACGGACTTATTGAACGTTAACCTCTTAATTTGGATGTCATTAACAAAACTCCTTTCTTCTGACAATACTATACTATATTGTTGCTGTAGCGATTTAAAAGTCTCTACTTAAGTAGGGTATAGTTCAAATTTTGTACGAAAGAAGTTGTTTTTGGCACGTTCGTTCAAATATCTATCAATTATTATGGTGCAATTGACAGACGAAAACCACAATGTTCCCAAAACTTTTCGAAAGAGCATGTTGGAAAATTGTTCTTGACCAAAAACGAATTTCTAACAGTCCATGTGGTTTTTGTTCTGAAACTTAATTCATTCCAAAATAGGATGTTAAATAAAGTGTGCCTTGTTCGAGAAATGTTGACTTCCTCCTACTATTAACTTACCTATGGGATCCAGCGCTCCACAAACACAATTTCTGTTAATATATTTCTAAGCATGATATTTTCAGTATGGGATCAGTGCCCCAGTTTTGCCCCTACTGTCACATAAAAACCCATCCTGCTTTAACCAGTGCCTGAAATATGACACTTTCAGAAGTCTGATTTGAAGCCCAATTCTACTTAAATTTTAAATGTCATTGTCACTACAATCCAGGTGCAGTAAACCATTGAGTGTTTACAGTCTAACTACTGGTTTAGTTTGTAAAGGAACCACAACCATGGTAGAAATATCTGTCCTCCGCCAGCATACTGCACAGAAGGACTGCCATGCTCTGTGTGAAAGAAGTGTTCCCTCTGCCGCAGTCCAACATGCCCCATGCTGATTCAGAGATAACATTCTCCAGTCAACGGGGAGCATGAGCAGATTGGAAAGTTTTAGCCTACTCAACAGGGGACATGTTGGACTGCTACAGAAAGACTACTTCTTCCACACAGAGCAGTCATTCTCTGCAGCATGCCGGTGAGGGGTTAGCTTTTCTGCTCTAAAACTGCTAGCACTTACCATTTTACTACACCTGAAATAAATTGGCAACATTTAAAAATGAGCTTTGAAGTGGAATTTAAGATGAACAGAGACTAAGGTGGTCACTCACATAAAGCCTCTGTGAATGCATACCCTCTTGTCAGTAAAGAACGATGAGATTTTGTAAAGGAGGGCAACACTTCCAATTCAAGCAACTGCATTGTAAGAGAATGGTGTGTGACCTTCCCAAGGCAGAGGTTATATCACTCATGCTACGCATGCAGCCAGATTTGTATTTCTTAAAACACAAGCAATGTTTAAAGGTAAGTGGGGGGCAAAGTAATGGTGAGTATCAAAGCGAAGGTTTGCGGTAATGAATGCTTCACCCATAATGCCAGGTGATTGAACGATATCCTGACCATACCATACGTAATTTTACAGTTTAATATACAGGACCCTAGAGCTCCCTAGGGGCCAGAATATATCACAACACAATCCAGGTTATAGTAGAATAAAAAAAACAAGTTATCTTCAAAATATGATTATCTGAAGTTTGGCCTTTCTGGCACATAAATTCATTTTAGCTCAGGGAAATGTGCCAAGAAAGGAGTCTGAGTTAGACAGAGTGTCCTATGAATATTAATCATTACAAGGAAAGTTGATCATTAAGCAAGCTGCAGAAATGCTCATAAGAAAATGCATTTTTAGTAACTTCACCAGTTCCTCGATCATGTGAATAGCAAAATGCTAGCAAAACATTTTGATGTGGGAAGGGTCACTGTACAAATAATCGTAATGGTCATATAAGTACCTGATGTGTGGGGTGGAGACATTTTCAGTTCTGCCTACTATAAGGCTACCTAAAGCATTAACCATAGTTTACATAGATTTATCACTGTGAAATTCATAATCCAAGTAGTCCAACCTAGGAGCCAGGTGGGCACACTTAAAAGTCATAGCCTTTACTTCACTGACAGCAATAGAATATAGTCAATGTATCAGGGAAATTAAATCCTTACTTCTATGAGGCAAGCAGCACTGGTTTATGTTACTCCTGATATGGTTCTGGTAAACTGGTAAGGTTTACCAAACTTCAGGTGTCGACAGTCTTGAATAAAATCCCAGGAATAAAATTGGATTTGATCTCAATCTCTACGGAGAAGGTTCAAAGTACTAGGATGAGGAATTCCCAGGATGCAGTATCATAGAGAAGGCAAGGCTAAAGTGTTTGACTCAAACATTGATGCTACATCAACAAACGTGTAGATAAAATCCAGCATCTTTACTCAGGTCAGGAAGTCACCCCAGCTGTATTGTTCACACCTTTTGACTTGGTATCTGACTTGCCTCTAACCATCACAGGCTCTTTCTCAGTAATTGAGTGCCAGGAGAGATGTAGGGTGGCATGGTACTGTGAACCCCCCAGAAGTCCCAGTTCTGCAGATTAGTAATTGTAAAGTCCATGGATACACATTTGCAGTCTATGGTTCTGGAACTATACAAGACACATAAACAATCCCACACAGCGTGAGCTGAAGAATGGCATATGTGCATTATGATAAAGACATTGGGGGGAATTGATCAAAACTGGAGCAGACAAAATTTGGCGCAGATTTGCACTGAAGCCAATCAGCTTCTCTTTCTAATTTTCAAATCTTACCTGAGCAAACTGAAGAGAGATGCTGATTGGTTGCCATAGGCAACTGCTCCAGATTTTGTTTGCTCCAGTTTTGATAAATACCCCCCCATTATTTTTAATTGAATTTATTTTTTCAACAAACACATACTGTGTACTATACCACTACAACACAGAACAAACCACAAAATAATAAAACAATACCAAGCTAACCCAACTCTACATACTTAAAACATTACATATTCTAATCCATCCCTCTGGTTCCCTAGCTTGTAGCATCTTTCATATTCTCACTAATTTGGTACCAGACCCGGTACCTGAAGCCACCCCTCCAATCTTTTGATATTTGTTTAGAACTCGCCTATGTGGCAAAGTCAGCTGTTCTCATTTCAAATTTCAAATCCACTTTCGTGCAATCAATTTTCTAGCAGGAAACAATGTTCTTCTGAGCCCCCAATCTAAAATTAACTTGGTTTTCCGGAACCTATTGATACCTCAAAATACAAATATATGGATTACATGAAACATTTGTTTTAAAAACAAAATTAATATGTTAATATAACAACATGTTTCCTTTATTTTAAAAGCTTAGGACATCTCCAAATAAGATGAATGAAATCTCCCAGGGCATGCTGCATCTAGTACAATTAGGACTGCTCCAAAGGCCTACTCTATAAAGTGAATGGGGAGTTCTAAACGTCCTAGGTGCAAGTTAAGCTGGCCATACACAGATCAAATTGGCCAAAACTGGATGTGTGGGTGGCCCAACCAGCACCACCTGGCTTGGCAAAAATCAAACTTTAAATTGACTTTTGTTAAAGGAGCTGGGTGAAATATTGTCGACTGAACAGCGACTGAAGACAATCAGCTGTAGTCAGTGTTTGGGTATTCTGACAGCAGAAAGCAATAGCTGGTAGGGAGGATTCCTCTGTCTATGCTCTGTAGAATTTTTAGAAGTGATTTGTCTGGTTCTGGCAAAAGAGCTGTGCAAGAAAAAATCTTAAGGTGTGTAAGGCCAGCATTACACTCTGACAGATTGACAGTGAGACATTGGTAATCGCCCTTAATATCTCTGACCATTTATCCTCTTTATCATTGCCTATGTCTCATAACCATTGCTCTCTACATTTCAAGGGATATTTCTTTAGATATTTATGCTTTAGTATAATATATATACAAAGGAAATAATATCCTTTGTACGATCAGACAACACAACATCCTCTATCAATGGGATTGTATAATATCTCATAGGTGTTATCTTCTCCTGGGAGCCTATTGAATGACGCAGTGGAAAATACTGATAAAAACTTTTATTCATTGTATCATTGTAAAACAAGTGCAAAGGGAATTACAAAGGGAAAATCCCTCCAACACTGTCAATTCTTTATACATAGAGTTACCCCAATTAGGTATAAAAGAAGTAAACCCCTTTATCCCTAGTAATTCCTTAACAAATTTCTAAACTTTATTTAAGTACTTCTGTACACAGAAGGTGAGAGACGACTCAGGACTGCAATATCAGCTCTAGGTGAGTAAAAAGAGCATTTCAGTTAGAGGGGGTTGGGAGGAGAGGGTGTGTGGGAGCCCAAAGATCACCTTTAATTTAAGGAGTTTATTCAACATGCCACCATTTCCATCTACTAGTTTGTACCCAGAACCAATCCATAATTTCTGGGTGGACTGACCCTACTTTTACTGGTTATGGAAAAAAAAGTAGGATCAGCCTACAGCCTCCTAGAATGACATCACCATGAACTATGACCTGTGGACCCTTTCCAAAAATCTACTCCTACCTACCTGTAAATGCGTGTGTTAATATTGTTTTACATTGTTGTCATCTCAAATAAGAAACTCCAAAGAAAAAAAAGTTAAGTTAAAAAGAAGAAGAGAATGCTGCTGATAAGCATTCCCATCACAATAAATTACTTTAAAAGCATTCTGTGATACAGCTGAAAGTGATAAAGCTGCTCCAGATCTAGACTATCACTGGAGACCTGCTAAGTGCTGCATTGTGTTCCTTCTGACCTATGTCCAGAAGGTGAAAAATGAATAGCAACTGCTAACAGCCATATTGGCAGTGTAACTTCAGCATTACAACATGATGAATATTTACTGGAACAACCACTGGCAACAACCGTACACTTACACAATGTCTAAAACAAGGAATAAATATACTACCTGCATAATGCCTCCTGTTTATTT